AAACTCGCGACGCCGCGCCCCCAAGGGTCCCAGGCGACGCCGCAGCAGAACTTTCGGTGCATCTCCGACAGCTGCAGCACCGGCACCGTGGAGCCCTCGAGGTCGTGCAGCACGACGCTGCCGTCGCCGCCGGCGCTCAACAGGTAGCGCCCGTCGGGGGAAAAGCAGACGTCGTACACGTCAATCACGTGACCGGAGAGGTGGCGGTAGTCCTTCCACTCCTCCCGGCCGTCGTCGCGGCGCTCCGGCCACCACAGGCAGATCTTGCCGTCGCAGTGCGCGGAGGCGATCATGCTCGCGTGCGGTGACCAGCGCGCGGTGAGCGGCATCCACGACGTACGCATGCCGCAGATGAAACTCACGCACGCCGTCATGTCACTCTGGCCATTGGCGAGCCAGCGGTCCGTCGCGTCGGGGTGCATCTGCCACAGGCGGATGTAGCCGTCGCCACCGCATGTGACGATGCGGTGGCCGTGGCTGCTGTAGTCGATTGACACGATGCCCTCAATGGCGACACTTTGCAGACCCAACTGCACCGCCTCCTCGTCGCGCTCGCAGCCGTGCCAGAGGATCTCCAGCGTGCGCACACGGATCGGCTGTTGGCCAATCGACGCCATACGCGTGACGGCGTTCCGGTATTCCTCGACAAGGAGCAAAAAAGAAGACAAAAAAAAAAGAGAAAGAACGTGTGAGACAGAGGGCCCATAGAGATATTATGGTTGGACAGGTATAGAGTATTGCTGTAGCCGCAGACACGACGCGTAGGAGCTGACGGGCGTGCATACCTTCTCCCATTCACAGGCACCATATAACGGCCACACGCAAACACCAAGGCGGTGCAACACAATGCAAAGAAGATGAAGAAGAAGAAAAAGAAGAAAAAAGAAAATACTGTGCTGCTAGTGGGCCGACTCAATATTCTCGTTTGTTCCGCCGCCGCTGTTCTTACCGCTCATGGAGCATGCGCAGGGCCACGCCTCCGCCCCGCCGCGTCGCCATGACCGCGGAGCACCGGGACGCCGTGGGGCGAGGGGAAAGCCCAACGCACAAAAGTGAGACGGAGACAAAAAAGGAAAAAAAAAAAGTAAAAGTCGAAAACAAGAACAACCACCACAACACCCACACAAACACAGTAAAGAAAAAGAAAGGCGCAGCCAAAAAACTATACGAAAACAAAACATTGCATCTGCCTAGACAACTATGCAGAGTGGCAGCTCAGGTGGACTTTTGACCAAAAAACACAAAAAAAAACATAACACTTCTCGCCCTCACGTACCCCAATGTTCGCATTCCCCTCGGCTTCCCTCCACCATCCGATCTTACCTGTAGGCGCATTTGCCGCTTCAGGTGCCATAAGTTAGAGGTGGCCTATACACGTGCAAAATACCCAGAAACACTCTGACGCAATTTTTTGGATTCTGTTCTTTAAAAAAATCTTCTGCCCTTTTCCAGAGAGTTGTCTCTCGCTCTCTCTCCCTCCCTCCCTCTCCATATATATATATATATATATATATATATCCACTGCGCCTCCAGCAGCCTTCCACGCCGCGGCCACCAAAACGAAGCCTCTTCGCTCACACGAAACGAAAAGAGTGGCAAAAGTGAATATGAGAGTGACGGAAAGGAGAAGTGTCGAAAGCCTCAACTCCTACATGCTTCCTCACATATACATCATATGGACTCGAAACTCGAAAGCATGAGCGCATACATATCTGGGATGAATATAGATACGTGGAGAAAGGCATTTCCAGAAATACAGAACTACGTGGCTCTTGTTCATATTGTTGCTGTTGCTTTTCTCTTCTCTTCTCTTCGTCTGCGAGTCTGCGCCGCTTCACACCACAGACTCTAGATGCATATGGGCGGGCCTGTTTGAAAACACTAACAACAACAACAACCTCACCGACGTCAATGAGCAAAGGCGGCCATGAATGTCGCCTCGCCCTCACGCAGACGCCGTCGCACTCTCGAGCTTGCAGCTGCTGTGGCTCCAGTGCTGGCTGAAGTTGCGTGAGCTTCCTCCTGTAACAGCTGATCAGCAAGGAACTTCTCCACCATGCGCCACAATCGGTCCAGCTCAATCTGTGTGCTCCGTGACACCAGCCTTCCTGCTGCCGCTGTTTCAACTACATAAGGCAGAAAGAATACACGCTCCACATTCTCCCCGATGCCGAAGCGATCAACACGCGCGTTGAAGCCACACTGTTCCTGCAGCCAGAAGCCGTCCTCATCAACGAGTACCANATTCTCCCCGATGCCGAAGCGATCAACACGCGCGTTGAAGCCACACTGTTCCTGCAGCCAGAAGCCGTCCTCATCAACGAGTACCACCATTGGCGGGGCCTCATATGTGATGGGTGCGGGAAACCAATCCTGGATGTGGCCGCTGCTGCTATCCATTACCACCTGCATGAGCCGCTCCTTCGCCGTCAGGGAAGATGCGGATGACTGTTGCTGCTGGCTCTGTTGCACCGACCCATGACCTCTAGAAGCACTCTGAGCGTCTTGGTTAGTGGAGGGACCCGCCGGGTTGACGCGCAACGCTTGCGACATATCCCAGCCAACAAAAGGGTCTACAAGAATTACGCCCTGGCAGAGCGCGCGCCGTGCTAGCTCGGGGTCCGCGGCAGCAAAGGCACCCACGTGCAGCAGTGGACATCGGTGCTCCAACAGTAGCAGCACAAACATTGCGGCGAGATCGTTTCCACCAATTAAAACGCGTCTCGCCTGCGTTTTCCGCCGCCCAGTCTCTATCATAGAAAGAAGAGCTGCTACCGTCCATTGCGGGCTACGCGCATCCTCCATCGGCACTGTCACGAAGAGTGCATCGCAACACAACGACTGTGCAAGTCGAAGGACAAATCGAAGAACAACTTGCGACCCAGTCTCACAAGGCATCACTATCCACACAAGCAAAGGGATGTCATCTGACGCAGAGTTCCCATGGCGCACATAAGCCGTGCTCTGACGTGACTCTGCCGCTGCCTTTTCTCTTGCTGCTACGTTCGTCATTGTCGTTGCCGAACCCCTCGACATTACACGGTATAGACAAACGTTTCCAACGATTACCTCTCTACACAGTCTCTGTGCCTCAGGCGATGTGAAGGGCTGACCGTAGATGGACTGCAACGTCGGGCGGTGATAACCACTTCTTAGACTCGGCACGCGCTGGCTGAGAAGCGTCAGCCCCGCAACGGCCTGCCGGTGACACATTTCAGTGCCATCGGCGGGTGAAGACGGCAGCGGCACATTGCCTCGAGTTGTGGATCCCCCTCCCTCTTCTGGTTGTTGCTGCTGCTGCCGATGGGGGTGTTTGTTGCGCGTCTCCTCGATCTGTTGTCCGCACTGCCACTGGCTGAGATTCTCGAGGGCGCCAAACGACAAACGGGCCACGGCGCCAAGGATGTGGCTGAAAACTGCGCCGATTAGCGAAAAGGTATTACTCCACATGGTGCCCTCCACAATACTGTACTAACTTCGTTGTTAAGCGATTTTGATGAAACTATCTGTCCGTATTCTGTTCCCTTTTCCCCACCTTTTTTTTCCTTCAGCAAGGGCGGAGAAGAATACGTAAACAAAAAAAAAGAAAGTGAACAGCCCCCTCCCCCAAACAAAAAACAAAACGCTATGCCCCCACCTTTTTTCCACAGAAGGCAAGCGAAGGATACGCACCGAATAAAAGCAAACTCCACTCCATTCCTTTTTCCCCCCACTCCTCAGCACCAGCAGCAAACATGCCAAAACACAGTCATTTCCATGCGCGCGTCACGAAGGCAGGGAGACACTGTGAAGCCAACATCTGCGTTAAATATATTTGGAAGCCTCATATCAGATGTTGTACTTCCCTTCATTTATACCATTCACCCCTTCTTGCCCTCGCTTCTGTGCATCGGGATATATATATATATATATATATACAGCTAAGTCTGTGCTGCCGGCTTCGATGATATTGGCGGGCGACTAACGCAGACTAAGTCCGTCTCCGTGATGCGCGAGCCGGGGTCCCGTCCCTCCAGAAGCGCCGGCGTCATGATGAGGCGCAGTCCGTCCCTATGCGCCTCGAACTGCTCCGCCGACTGATTCGGCCACGGCTTGACGACGGTGCTGATGGCCACCGTAAACACCGGTCCCCGCACATCCGAGCCAAACGAGCTGCAGCAGAACATAAAACAACCGCGGCGCCACGAGAAGCGTGCGGCACCTTGAATGACTTCGGTCGCTGTGTCCTTGTAGTCGATGAGCAGCTGCACGCGACCAATGGTGTGGTACATCTGCCCGATTGTGGCGGAGGAGAGCAGCAGCGTCACCGCTTCGATGGGGTACACGGAGTCGTCAAGGATTGTCGGCGAGTTGTGAAGCACCGTCCTCTTTGCGGTGTTGCTGCTGAGGGTTGTATTGAACGTCTCCCACGTGTCTTCCGACGGAGTTGCCATAAAGAAGTAGTGCCCGTGGAGGGCTTTGGTGGTGATGATCTGATCAATGAAGTACCTATAATAGTCCTGCGCTGGTGTGCTAGGCATGCATAGTAGCGGCTGAAGATTCATGCCGGTGAGAATGCCACGCCACAATGCGTCGTGCGTGGCGATTTGGTAGAACCGCTTACATACCAACATGACGTTACACAGATCGAAACAATTGCAGAACGATAGGACACGGAAGAACAGTCGTCCGAAGTCCCACAGTGTGGGTTTGCCCTGATTTGATGGTAGAACGTCTGCTCCATCCAGACTCGGGCCATATCTATCTAAAGTTTTGTCAACTCCTCCTCCTCCTTCGGATGCTGCCCCTGCTGCGGACACTACAGTTTCTAGTGGAGCGCCTACTGACTCTCCATCTTTTATGTCGCTCTCTTCCTCCGCCTGCTGGCGCCACGCACCGTCGCTCCTCAGCCACGTCAGTGCAGATTCCCCGCCTCTACTGTACAACTGCATCCCGTTGCCGCCACTGTGATTAGTCGGGTCATCCCCACTACTGCTACTACCAGTGCTGCTGCCGCCACTGCTGCTGCTACTGCTTTCACTCTCTGTCCCCTCGTCCTCCGGTATCATGGAAAGCAGCAATGCTGATGATGTGCGTGATGCGTGGGTTACAACCGGCGTACCGAGCGGATTGCCTCCAATTTCCACATCCTCGCCGTCACCCTCAACGAAGAAGAAACGGTGTGCTGATTGAGCCGCCGTGTTTTCACTGATGTGATGCTTGTCCGAAGTGTGGGTGTCGCACCACCCTCCACTCATTTGTGTGGGCGACACAAGCTTGCCTTGAGGCACCCAATACAAATTTGACGATATGCCCGATGAGCTCCTTTGTGAGACTTCACCTTGGCGACGCCGCGTTGTGTCTTTTCTCGCGCACAGGCGCGCGGTACAGACCTGTGGATCCACAAGAATAAAGAATAAGAAGACACCAGTTGCTGCGAGAGAGAGACAGAGAGTGAGGGGGGGGGGTGCGGGGTGAAGCGAATGGAATACAACTCGCTGCAAACACTCTCTTCGCTTTCATTTTCTTTTTTCCGCGATTACACGAACCAAGCCGACCGAAACTCAACACACACCACCTGGACGGGCTAACACCGCCACCATAGCAGCAGTACCACAGGCCCGTTACTTCATCTTAGCACGGAGAGCCGCTAACTTCGCCTGCAACACCGACAATTTACGCTCCTCTTTTGAAGGCCCCGCAGGCTGCTGCGGCTCTTGCTGTTGTTCCTGCTTCTTTGGCTGCGCCACGGGACCCTCCGTCTTGCGCCTCTTGACATCCCGCGCAGGGATGACACCTTTGCCACGTGGGTGCTTGTAATGCTGATTATCCTTAGCACCACCTGCTGCCCGTTGCGGGTATGCATCGTCTGCCGTGTCCCCGGCAGTCCGTGCCTCCTCACCCCCTTCCTCCCCACGCTGCTGCCGATGCGGCTGTTGTTGGCAACGCTCCACGTGCCGGCGGTGGTGCCCGGCGGGGTTCTTGTTGTAGTACTCCTCGCGAAGCCGCTTTGCAATGGCAGCCGCCACTTCACTGTAGCGCTGCCGTGTCGCGTAGAAGGACTTGGGAGGCTTTTTCTTCTGCAGCTCACCGCCCGTCTTGGCGCGCCACCTCTCGGTGTGCTTCTGCCAGAACGCCTCAAGCTGAGCCTGCTCCTCCGCCTCCTCTCGCTCTCGACGCCGCTTCGCCTCAGCGAGCCGGTACGTGTAGTGTGGCTTTGCGTGCAGGGCCACCACCACCTCGTCGCGCCAGATGGCGCCGGTGAGGGCAGGCACGACGTTCTTCGCGCCCTCTACGGAGAAGTGCGCGTAGCGGCGGACGTTGCCGTCGCTGTCGAGGCCGAGATCAATGCTGTGGGGCTGCGCTCCGGTGCGGTTGCGGACAAACTCCGCGATCTCTCGCTTTGTGCATTGTGGCGGGAGGTTCTTAATGCAGATGCGCTTCGATGGATCCATTTCCTCTCTCTTGCTGCGCTTACTTCTTTCTTCTTCCTCTTGTTGCTGCTGCTGCTCTTCTACGCGTGTGGTTACCCAGACACCTGCACGACTCTCCCGTTCTTGCCGCCTTCACGGAATGGGAAAAGGACAGATCACACACACGCCGATAGGCTGCCGCGTCAACGCTGCATAGAAAACAAGAAGAAACAACAACACGAGAAACCGAGATCATGCCGGACATTATACATATACATATATATATATATGTGCATATTTGCAATATGCACATACACATATATCATGAGAGAGAGAGA